TATATATATATATATATTATAAACATGATCCTTTGTGAGCGGGATAGAGTTAACAGGGTTCAAAGACATCATTTCCCAATGATGGCCGAGTTTATTGAAGATTTCAACCGGAGGGGTCCATTTTCAAAATAAAAAATCAAAGGCTATTTTCAAAACTCAAATAGTATATACTATGAACCTGGTCTTAGGTAAGCATGTCATACTTGACAAGGCTCGAAAAAGTCGATTCCCCGATGATGGTCGTGTTGATAGTATATTTCAATCGGAGGGGTCTATTTATAAAAATAATAAATAATAAATATATTTTAAATAATAATAATATATATTTAAAAACATTATGTCATCTAATGCTTTAAAGCAAAATTTCATCACAATTTTTTGTCGAGGTTAGACAAATCTAATGCTGACTCGAGCTCACAAAGAGTCAATATCATATTAATCTTACTACTAAATTAAAACTCAAACAATTCTATGCTAGTAAGGACATGATTTATATCCTTTGTCTACGTGGTCTTGCCGCTGAATAGCACCAGACGAAGTTATTACGACCAGAGCCCTCTGACCGGGTGGTTTGCTACTAATGGCACCATTATATTATGGTCATGGTTGTAGCCCGTATGTTTCCCCAATGACAGTTTGCTCATTTGAGTATTGAATCATAGGTTATATTTGATAGGGCAAAAAGCCCTCTGTAAGCTAAGATTGACTTATATTAGTCCTCTTAGACAAACATTCACCCCAGATCTACAAGGTCCTCTTGGACGGAGCAACGCATGACTGCTGACAAGGATCCTTCGGTCAGGTTGGGTTGACTACCTCCGCTGACTAACTAGACCCTGGGACCATAACAATCCGGATGGAAGAACCATGGGATATTGATCGATTTTGTCATCGTTTCCCCCACCATCTGTTTTGAGCTCACAGAGATAATTTTTATAATTATAAATTTAAATTTACTATTGTTATATGTTAAGTTTGAATACTTAGCGCTTAGTGACTAAACTTAATCGAAAGTATTATCTCGTTATTGAGAGGGGTGATTAACCATAAGGGCTTACACCTATGGGAAACGTCAAACCCCATATCTTAAAGTCCTTGCAAAATGAAAGTGAAATCTCTGGGTAGTGTCTCATCTACTATCGCTTATAAAGATGTGATTGAAGTGTGAGAGCTTTAAATCGACTTAGTAGAAGGAATACCAAGTTTACTCCAAATTATGATAATTTAAGCTATTTGAAAGACGTCTTTTAGGATTAAGTTTTAAGTTGTTTAAAAAGGGTTGAAAAGATGGTGGAGGGCTAGGAAAAAAAAAGTGAACTTTTGATCTTGAGTTATTGATGGAGTTTGGTGGAGTTTCAGAGAATTTAATAGTATAGGGAACAAAACTAGGTAGTAGTCTTCCTTGATTTATTTGAGAGCTTTAAAGATGGATTTGGAGTGATTGTGAGGCCTTGAATGTTGGATGGATAGTCATGGGAGATGCTTAGGTTATGAAGAATGATGTGAGGAAGCTTTAGAGCTACTTTTGAGAGAAGTAATAATTAAATTATAAGAGTAAAAGAGATAACCACCAATCCACCAATGAATAACCCAACACAAATTTACCAAGCATTCAAAAATGAAAAAAGTTTTCTTCATCATACTTTCTAATTAGGGTTTAGGGTATGGGTATTAGATATGTCAATACATATGAAAAGAATGGTCTGTTGTAAATCTTCCAAAAAAATATGAAGGTACGTCCAAACAAATTGAGTAAAAAGAAGAAATTTTGTGAAAATGATGCTCATTGGAAGGATCACCGGCAACAATTCCAGAAAGGAGTTGCTTGGCAAGCAAAGAAGCCATCTGAGCTTGTTTACATAAATGTGTGTGGGCCAATACAGACATCTCATTCTCAAAAAAAGTACTTCATACTTTTCATTAATGATTTTACAATTATGAATTGAGTGTATTTTATGAGGCAAATACATGTACTTTCCATTATTTTCAATAAAGTTCAAATTTTTTGCTTAAAACTGTTGAGAAGTGACACAGTTAAAGAGTACAAAACATGTGCATCTTATCAAATTTGTGAGGATAAAGGTGTAGAAAAGAAATTAATTGTTGGCTCCACTCATCAATAATTTGGGGTATCCATTCATTTTACCTCAAGGAAAAGAATAAGTTGAAAGACAAGCTGCTTAATTTATTTCATCTCCAGAACCAACCAATGAAGATGAAGAATATGACAGCCAATCAAAGTTCGTTATTATCACCAATCAGCTCGTCATCCCTAACCTCAACTCCAAGAGAAAATGAATTTAACGGATGCTTTGAACCAGAAAAGAATCAATAATGATGAAGTCCAGCTCAACCAATGCAAAGATTAAGAACAATTTGAAGGTATAATAACAGAAGCTCCCCATTTTTCTTAGAATAAATTCATAATACTTCCTTACATGGAACTTGTCAGCATTAAGCAATCTTCCCCTGCAATAAAGTTCAATTACTTATATACGATCCATATACAGCATCCCAGTACTCAGCCCCTTCCATTAGCATCTAAATCAACCAACCCAGACTTATACGGAACCGAATCATTCAAAATCCAATCATCCCCACCAATAAACTCACCCACAGTAAACCTCTCAGCATCCACCTTCCGCATCCTCCTAAACCCTTCCCATCTCACTCTCCCCTCAGTCCCAGCCCCAGCCCCAAAATTCTCAAACTCCCCATAATAAATACTTTTCGGCGCCTCTTCCTCGCCCCACTCAACCCATCCCTCGGGCCTCACAAACCCGTCCATATAACACTGCATAAAGACCGTGGTCGAGTAGTTCTTCCACGGCCTGCCGAGATAAGTATAGACCGAATGCGTTAGGTTGATGAGATCCTTACCCGGTGAAATCTGGGAGAGATGGACGGAGAATCCGCTTCGGATGGAGGGGCAATCCTTGCCCTGTGCGGTGATGGAGATGATCTGATTGGGGAGAGGGCGGCGGGGGATGATTCTGCAGAACTGGAAGACGGCGGCGGCGCGGCCGAAGATGAAATCGACGGTGCCGCGGATGGTGGAGTGGAGGTAGAGTTGGCGACGGGAATGGGCGTAGAGAGTGTCTTGGAAGGAGATGAAGCGGCATTTGTAGAAGATGGAGCGATCGGCGCTGTTGCGGACGGCGACGGCTTGTTTCTTTTGGGGGAGGGCGGTGTTCTTGAAGGTGATGCCGGTCGCGATGAATCTGTCTCCGTTCACGGCTATGAGGACGAGGACCAGGATCAGCATGAGTTGGGAGGATTTAATTAACAATTATATAAATTTGAATCTAGCAAATGTTGAAAAAAATTAAATCACATAAATTATTTTACAATAAGGACATATTTATGATGGTGTTAAACCAAAATAATATTATAATAACACCAAAATATCACCATAATACCATCAAAATAATATCAATTTGCACATAAGTCATTTGTATGCAATATTTTTTTCTTACGCGGCTGCATGAGAGGACATTTTGATCTTTTCTTTCTGGTTGCATTAGCTTTCGAGAAGGCATTTTGATCTTCTCTTGTAGCTCCATTAGCGTTGAAGTTGGAGAAGGTATCGGCGACGAGATTCAACAGAATCTAACATATTAGCTTGGATGTTTTGTATGTAAATAATAAGTTTTGGGTGTTGGATATATAAATAATAGTTTTAAGTGCTATTTATCTAATTATAGTTAATATGGTAATATATTAATTAATTATTGGTTATCAATCAATTTAAATAATAAAAATAATTTAATATCACAAACTTAATTAGCCCTTGCCTACATCACTCTCTCTCTTCCGCTCCCTTCCCTCTCCACCTGAACTCTCATATGTGTCCCTCCCACTCTCTCAGTTTTTGCCCAAAACCATCGTCTTCATGAACAAGCCTCAGGATACACTCGTGATTAGAGCTGGCTGGGAAGGCAATGATGGGATCATGATCAATATAGACTGAAGAAACTCATATCTTTCTTATCCTTTTGCTCTGCTCCTATCATTGAGGAAGCTAAGTTTGTTAGTTCAATTCTTCCTCTTCGCCATTCCAGATCTACCAAGTCTGTGTAACAACAAGATTCAGTTATCCATACTGAAATTTTGAAATCAAAATTTATCAAATATGCAGCTTTATTTTTTTCAAACAGACAGTCTAGCATGATTTAACTTAAATCCAAGTTAAATTCTAGTATAAATTTGTTGTCTGCAGCCCATGGGTGGAACACAGTCAATTCCACTTGTGAGCTGGTCATGTCAGCCTTGAATCAGCTCATTAGTTTTGGTTAACACAAGAGTAGACTTAGAATATGAGTCGGCACTAAATACTGATGAGACATTGTACACTTCACCTATTACTTCAACTAATTTTTCATCCATCATTTTAACCGAGTTAGGGCCTTCAGAGGCTTCTATGACTTGGAGAACTTTTGTTTCCACATAAGGGATTTGCTTCCTAGCTAGGAACAAAAGTAGCAACAATAGTCACAATAGGGGAACATCCAATAACTCTCTTCTTCAAAGACGAAGAAATTGTATTCAGACTTTAGGCTGAATCACATTAGAAGTTCCTTTTCATCAATAAATTGGGGGTCTACCAAGAAAAGTTAAGATATCTGCAGGTCATTTTGAAGTGATCAAGACTCAATCCAAACTTGATGACAAACCCACCATTCAGATAAATTTTATTGAGAAACACATTTCTTCAATTTTTAAAGAAAAAAATTAATTAAGGGGATGAAATGATTCCTTTAATAGAGATACAAATAAGGATTGTAATATGAAGTTTACTCTCGAATATCTAAATTTTAGTGAATTTAAGAAAGAACTTGTTTAGAAAATAACTCAATCAAAGCATTGAATTCGACCAAAAAAAGTTATGAAGTGTACTCATTAAACAAGGTTAAATGAGAAGCTAAATTACTTAAATTTTAAAAGATGTTGAATGGGCTCATTCCATTATTTGGTGGATGGAAAATCCAACAAGGAAGAGATGGGTAATCTGAATTTATGAAGGGTACAAACACACTACTGATGAAAAATAATATAAGCCAACACTAAAGATGGAGAGAGAAACCATCTCAAGTGGAGTCACTAGAAATATCTGTTAGTGAATAATTTTTTAATGATGAAGAAGTGTCCACAATTTATCTTGGAAGATTTCTATCTAGATGATTAAATATGTCATTTGAATAATAATGCATCTACGTGAGGAAGTTTCAAGTAATCGACCACTCTCGTCGACCATCGCCAACCACTGTCGGTTGACCCTTGCTCATTTTCAATGACAAACTCTATTTTCATACTAGTTACAAAGTTTCTTGAGTATGATGTAATGAAGTATTTCGAATACGAGGTAATGAAATATCTCAAATATGGTGTAATAAAGAATCTTAATTATGGGGTAATGACATATCTCGAACGTGGGGTAATAACATATCATGAATGCATGGTAATGAGGTATCCCAAGTACAAAGTAATGACATATCCTAAATACTGTGTAATGACATATCCCAAACACGACGTATTGAAGATCCCATGATAACTCCTAGTGAAAATTGCTTATGACTGTCATATTCAAAATATGATGACTTTATTCAGACTCTTAACATTATTTTTCTCATGTTGTATAACAATAAATGTTGTCTCTCGTAAAAAAATAATAAGTTTGAGAAAAATATTGCAACCACCAATTGGTACGTGTAACACCAATTATAATCTATGTGTGTAACTACGACCTATGTAGCTAACTACTATTGTAGTTATCGAATGTGGCATTTGTGACTATCTACGATATATGTAGCTAATAATTACAACCTACACAATAAACTATGGGCTATATAGATAATTGTTATTACCACTACCAACTACAACATATGTGACTAACTACGCCCTATGTAGCCAATTGTTATTGTAACCACCAATTATGTCCTATGTTTCCAATTACGACATATATGACTAATTGCTACTATAGCTTTCAACTACGGTCTCTATAGCCAACTGACAATACTTCATCTACCAATTACTGTCCATGTGAGTCTGTGACCAGTTATTACGATAACATTCCACTACACAATCTTTATGGTTGACTCATACCCTTAGCTACTAACTATGACATATGTTGCCAATTACTACGAAAGCTTCCCACTATGACCATTATGATCACTTGACACTCTTGCAGTTATCCACTATGACCTATGTGATAAGTCACTACTGTAGCTTTCCGTTCCGGCCTCTGTGACTAACAAACGCTCTTACAGTTACCAACTACGCCTTATGTAGCCAGCTAATGCTATTGTAGTCACCAAATCTATAGCCAACTAATGCTATCAAAACTTTATAGTATGACCTTTATGGATAATTAACATTATTACAATCACCTTGTACAATCTCTGTGGTCAATTGTCATTATTGCAGTCATAGGCTATTACCTCCGTGGTTGACTACTGCTATTACGACTTCTAACTATGAATTTTGTGGTCAATTGATGTTATCGCAATCACCACCTACGACCCTCATGACCAATTGCCACTATTGTAGCCATCAACTACAACCTTCATAGTCAACATTATTTGTTGTAGCCAATCATAACAATGTAATTATAGCATTATAATTTCATCTCGTCCAATTCAGGAGGAAAGTGTAATAATGTACTTACAATCATATAGTATATTACACTGATTGGGTTAGTCCCGTGATTTTTTTTTCCTTTTAAGATTTTTCTACAAAAAAAGTCTTGGTGTCTCATCTTGCTACTTTTTTAATATCTGCGTGTGTCAGATCTTTATGCAATTTTAAGACGTTAAATGATCAGTCTACCATCGTGAATCTTCCAACACATAACAAATATAAATATTAAATTTTTAATAATATCATAAACGAATTTTTCTATTTATTTAAATAACACCGAGAATTTGAACATCAAATCAAATTTATCATTAAAATCAAATTTTCTAAGATAAAATACACATTCTATATATTTTAATATGGTTGTGACACTATAATGTTTGTAAATATAAATATTAAAATTTTGAGGCTAGATATGTAAATGAAAAAAAATTGTGTGACATTCTATAGAAATCCCTCAAATACTTCATATAAATTTACTCTACATGTTACTACATAAGCAAAACAACACAATGCACCACATGAAACAAATTCCCATATTTCTATGTGTTAAATCTCCACTCTTTTCTCCTAAAGTCCAACAAATAATCTAATTTGTTTTGATGGATCAATGGTATCATCTTATACAATATATATATATATATATATATATATTCTTACAAGGACATGGGTGAATCATATAAATATTAAAATTTAATGCCATAAAAAAAAATAAAAATCATTGAACCCATTTCATATATTTATCCAATTACATTAAGCTTCCAACACCACATACCTAAAGTAGCAGTCTGGTAAGTGCTATATCCGTCTCCCACACTCCTGTTCCCAGTTATAAATGTCCGCCTCATTCCGCCACCTTTCAGTATCAGTCCGGTGAGTTTCTTCGGCACGACGACGTTCTCCACGTAGATGCCTCGTTTGACGATAATCTTAAAGAAGGCCGACGGTGATCGGCGACTCTGAGTCGCGTATGCGATGGCGTCGTTCACGGAGGTGAAGTCGCCGCTGCCGTCTTTGGCTACAATAACCGTCCGATTCGATGGGATGTTGAACATAAAAGATCCGACGGCGGTGGCGGCGTTGGTTGATTCACTCGTGCCTGTCCATAGGAAATTAGTTAAGATTACCGTTTTAAATTTCACGAGAGAGATTGTGACTTTCTTGCAAATTCAGATTTGTTCATTTTCAATCACGTGTGAAGTCACGTGCTTTACTTCTGTAGTCAACGGTAAATATATAATATTTAAATTAAAAAGTAATTCAACTTTATATCACCTTATATAAAATATGTTAACAGATATACCATTCAATTATTATTATATGCAAATTGAATACATAGCATTTAATATTTATTTATCTGCCGTTAAAACTTTTAAAACTCATGAAAATATATAAATGTATAAATATGAAAGAATTGAGTGCTACGCATGTAAATTTCCCTTAAATCAATTAAAATTTTGCAACACAAAGCCATAATATTCACAACCAATCAAATTACCCTTAACGGTCATCGCACGTGCCGCTCCCATCTCCTCCAACCAGCTCTCCAGCAGCCCGAGCGCCACCCCATACACCTCTCTCACCCCCCCCCCCCCCGCCGGAAAAACTCGCCGGCGATCATCCCGGCCTCCTCCAGCCCATCCAAACAGGTTCCCGCTCCGGCAACCGCCGAGCTCATGAGCGTCATCAAATCGTCAGCTTCCGTCGACGTTACATTCTTCGAGCTCATGAGCTTCCGTTTAACGAGCTTCAGATCAGCAGAGCTGAACTCCATGAGCTCCGTGCAGTCTTCTACAGTGGGTCCGACGAGGCCTGCTCGGACGGGGAATCGGGATGCCGAGCGGGTGGCGGCGAGGCTGCGGTCAACGGCGGCGAGTGAGAGGCTGTTGGGGGTTGTGTGGGATTGAAGGTTGGAGATGAAGGAGTTGCAGTGGGTGGGATAGCATGAGGTTTCGCAGGGAGAGATGGCGCCACCGCCATAGCCGGCGGCGTGATTGGCGGTGAAGGTAATGGAGATGAGTTGGAGGAGAGGGAGGAGAGGGAGGAGAGGGAAGGGAAGCATGGCTTAAAGTGCTGAGGGGGGTTGATTGAGTGCTTCGTTATTTATACGGTTGAGAGACTTGGCGAAATCTTACTAGTAGTTTTTTAAGGAAATGGTGGTACGATTTATATTTTTTTAATTATATCAAATTAATATATAGTTTATGTCTAAAATTAAGAAGAAGTTTGTATTAATTATAATAAATTGTTTGCGGCTTTGTAACTATTTGAAGAAATATTATATGTGAAGTTATTGCAGAAGAAATTATTAATCAAAAGCTTACAGTTGTCATTAAAAATTTACAATTCAATTTGGCAAACAACGACCACCGCAGTTACTCACGATCAGATTGCAAAACATAGCTTCCGACTATAATTTTTGAAAAAATAGACAAAATATAATTTCGCAGAACACCATAAAAATACAGTGCGATATGCCAGCGCCGTGGCACCACAACCTCGAACACAATCTAAATTTATGGTGTGTTGATAAATTTATGAAGCATTTGCCAAGAGACTCCATACCATCCAATGCCTATACATTTATATAACTAATATCTAAATGTCAAATTTATATCACGTAAAAAAATATAATTAGTTTAATTTTAAAATGTAAGATAATCATTTTAATACATAAATAATGAGCTATATTTAGATGGTAGATATATATGAAAATGAAATGGTATGTATGTAAATTTTCATAAATTCATCACTATGTTGATTTTGATATTAATTTAATGTTTATAAACTTATTGAGATGAAATTTATATTTATATCTATATTTTGCCATAATTTTATACAATGATATTATATGGAAGAACTGTTAATAAGATATTTCTCCGATTATTGACGTCATAAATAACAAAGAACTCATTGCCCTCACTTTAGTCTTCACCACTAATGATTTCATCCTCTCTTAAGAAGTGGACAGAACTTATTTTCAAAGGCACAATTAATTATTTAAAATTTATTTTTTATATTTTGTTATAATTTAATAATTTCCCATAACACTAGTGGAAGTTCACAATTAAGGCTTCGTTTGAGAGCACTACGATTGCACGTGCTAACACGTATAAGAGTTTCATTTCGTTCCGCGAACGAGCATTTTCCAAACTTTTTTTTTGAAGTTCTTGCATAATTTTTCTTCGTTTTAGATCACATGTCCTTTTTTTCGATCGATCAACACGACTTTTAAAGAAAGTTTATTGACAATGAAACCTCCTTCAAAAGAAGCATTGATGACGCTCGAGAACTCGGCGGCGGTCGGGACATGCAGCTGTTTCGGCTTATTGGTTGAGGTTAGGACGGCCGGCGGCGAAATTGGGGTATGGGGTGGCGCTTGGACTACGTGGGATGCGGCACGTGCGAAGATCAGCAATGACGCTAAAATTTTTCCTAAGTTTAGCTCCCGCACGCTTTCTCCATTATTACGAGTCACTGCAGTTGTCAGTTACTTCTTTTTAATAAATCCTGAAACATATAAAGTTAGCTTGGCTGACACAAATATATTTTATAATGTCTATTTTTGAGTGTTCATTGCTGTCCTCCTGCAAATAGACAGTTGCTTCATTTAAATCACTTAATATTTTTTTTTATATATTTGAAATTTATTTATAATATGATTAGGAGGCATTTAAATCACTTATGTATATGCATATTTAAAATAAAAAAATTCCAATTTACAAGGAAGCTCTAAAATATTTAACATCATTCAATTTCTGATGTAACATATCTACAATAACTAGACGTGTTTGGGGTAGCTGCAGGTTATTGAATAATCTGTTGGTAAGTTGGGTACGACGACTATTACAAATTTTTATTTTTTTAGAGAAGCCAAACCATTGTCACAAAGTTCCCAGATAGGTGCGGTGTGAAAACACTGTTTTCGGCGTCTTGAAAACGCATAAACTGTCAAAATGCAGTTTATCCAAACAGGTCATGTGCGTTTTCAAAACGCCACCACACCAAATAAACTGCCTCAAATGGATCCTAAGTCATTTTTTTTTTTAAGCAGAGGCACAAAATAATTATAGATAAAATAATAATATAGAGAATGTAACATATCGTCATGTGAAGAATTGGATCAACGAATGTGCGCAATTGGGGTTTTTGGTTTCCACGCACAAGCATGAGTGCGAGAACACGTGAAATCGAGAAGAAGAATCGGCGATCACCACGAGCTTCTATTGCGTACGGAAGCGTCTGGTGTTCAGTCAAGACCACTAAAATACAACTTTTTTTATACATCTAACTATGAATCTTATACTTCCTATTTGATTTTGAAAATAAATCTAATAATTATAAAATTTATCATATTTTAATTTGATTTCATATATTTTTGCACCAATTTTTTTCTTACCAAAAATTTGTCATTTCTATGATATCAATGAGAAAATTAATAAGTGGATAGGTTGTTATTTTGAATGAGAAATTTTGACTTTATTTGTCAAATAATAGCAAAAATTTAAAAAATATACTTTGATATTTCACTTTTTGGGAAAGTCATGAAATGCCATTTCATGCAAAATAAATACCCCCAACACTTAGACTTGTGTGTTATGTCATGTAAGATTATCATTTATGAATAATGATTTTACAATCAAAGTTCTAGAGCTAAGGTTTCATTTGAGAAGGCATTCAAGCTCAGTTTAGTTGTCCTGAATGCCGACGTGCAAATTTGTATTCATTTGGTAAATCAGTGTTTCTCAATTTCTCACGAAATTATTTCACCGCAACGTCAAATTTTTTTTGTCATTTTAGAACTCAGATGATGATGCCCGTTCCGTCACACGACTTTTAAAGTAAGTCTGCCGAACGCCGAATCTCCTTTGAACGAAACCTACAGTTGCATCTTCATTTTCAAGTGGTTGTTGAGAGGGGAGTGCATCATTTGATCAATTTTTTTTAAAAAATTTAACTGAATTAAACAAATTTGATTGATTCAATTCGATTTCAATTTTGCAGTTCAATTTTTAGTTTTAAAATTTTCAATATTTCTTATTAATTATGCAAGTTATTTAATTTGTAGTGTTTGTTCATAACCAATCTTCAACTAATAACTAAACTCTCAATTAGTTCATACACAAAATGTTTAAATCGAATTAAATTATTTTAAGTCAATTTCGTTCAACCAAAATTATGATTTGTTCATGTAATTTTTTTTTAAGAATTTCAAATTGAAAATCGAATCATTCGAACTGATTGAATGCTCACTTCTAACCATTTAAGAGAAGCGATGTTATATGTTTGACTATTTAAATTTGAAAATAAATTTCATATTTCTCACTAGATCATAACTTACTTAAATATTGAAATAATGAGCTAATAAGTTATAGAAAGATTAGTCAACATTAATGAAAATTTTGAAAAAAAAAGTTTGATTAATAATGATAATGAAAATTTTGAAATACTATAAAATGAAATATTTAAGAATGAATTTTTTACTTAAAAAACAAAATTTTGAAAAAAAAAAAAACTGTATTTAAATACTATTTTATTTTCAATATTGTTTTAAGAATGAAGTTCTTCGAAAAGAGAAGTTTAGGTGCATACAACATGCCCCATTAGATTTGAAGCTCAATTTAACATTGCCGTAATTTGATTAATAACTCTTTTGAACGGAACTTTAAAGGTTATAAATAAGATAAATGATTAGAGATTGTTAGGTATGACTCATATACCAAATGAGGGACAGATGTTGGAGCGAAATGGAGCGAGCCACCGAAGCGGAGCGGAAACGTCTGTCCAATCGGGGGAGTTACGTTATGTGTGTTAGGGATGCAGGGGCAACGCCCCCGCGGAACGATGCATGAGTAATTTTGTAATTATATATATGCATATTGTAATCCTAATGGGTATCCTGTACTCTTTTTCTGAATTGAAAGAAAGTCGCTGTTCTGTTCCTGAGAACGTAGGCATCTTTGCCGAACCTCATTAAATCTTAATAATAATAACGACAAAAACGTTAAATGCCGATTTTTATTATGTTGAATATTATTTTAAATACGATTTTACAATTAACTTGACATTAAAATAAAAAATATAAAAAAAGGGGACAAAATAACGATTTTGATTTATTTTAAATAATATTTTCGTTATCATTTTACTTGGTATATAAATTTAAAACAAAAATGGACAAAATCAGTATTTAAATATGTTAGTGTGGAGCCCGATCACGCCCCGCTCGCGACTTCCGCAAAAGGCCGCGACCTCTGTCCTCTGTCGCGAAACGTCGCGCCAACTGCTACATCCTCCAATGTTCCCGTTTCCGTAAAGCGAAGCTTCGCTTCGCCCCGCTCAGCCGCTCCCCCGCCCGGTTTCATGTTAAAAAAGAGCAGCTCTCTTTCAGATTAAGTTTAGTTATGATTTTTTTGTTCTTTTTTGGACTTCTACAGGACAGTGGAAGGGCTTCCTTGGGATAGAAGAGAAGTGCAAGAAATAGTTCTTTACGGCAGAAGGAATAAGGAAGAAGGAGAAGAATATTGTTCTCCATTGGCTTCTTCTTGGTGGCTTGTAGCAGAAGAAAAATTAGGTTTATTTCTCTTGTTTATCTTCTTCGGTTTATTTTTGTGTAGAGTTTCTTCGGTGTATCTCGGTGTAGAGAAAAAAAAAAAGAGAGAAGAAGATAGAGCAACGAAGTGTGAGATTCCTCTTGTAAGTCGAGACGATCGACCAGTGTAAATTCCTAGAGTTGGTAAAATCCTCCGCAACTCCGTGGACGTAGACAATTTGCCAAACCACGTAAATCTGTGTGTTTTGTTGTGTTACTGTTTTATGGTGTGAATTTTCTCGTTCTATTTTTTTGTTTCGTCGATCGTTCTCCTATTTCTATATACATATCTATATACCACAATAACTGATATATATCTCACAACAAAATACATATTTTGATCATCAAAAACATATTTAAATACCAACTTTGCCGATAAAAAAAAAATAAATAAAAAATGTTGTTCCTCTAAAAGCATTTTTTAGAACCACAACTTTAAAAAATTCATCAATATTATTCGAACATGCTCATAA